AGGCCAAAACTGTCAAAGGAGAGAGGAAGTGAGAGTGAGGAGAGAGAGAATTAACACCTACACACTGACTAAATGACACTAGTAACACTTATGTATTAATTCCACTATATTTTACCTCCTTCTCAAAGTGGGAGTAGAGATCAGAGAGACGGTGATCAGGCGTTTCCCATCGACTCATAGCCAAAACTTGCAGGATTTGAGCTACCTGCAAAACAGTTTTAGACACAATGCTCAGTAATCACTCAATACAAAATAAATACTAAAAATAAGCCAACCATCCCAAAACTATATTTACACTTATTTTGTCCTTACTCCAACCACATTATTGTTCTCTGCCTAAAGGATATTACTGCATATCTGTAGTGTTCATACAGTGTCATATTAAGTATACAGTTGAGTATTTAGTGCTTTTTCTGCTATTTTTAACATTCTGATTGAATGGACACTCAGATAACCTCCCACATTAGTCTGTTACAGTGGCAGCTCATCAAAAAATAGAAAGGGAGGACTGCATGACTGCAAGCCTCATAGAACAGCATTAATAAACTGGATGTGTGCTGCATCGAATGCAGCTCCTCGCTGCCAGATGTAACACCAGTAATACCTATACTATTGTACATTCATCAAACTTCTATTTTTAATTATTTTTATCTAGTTTCAACAACAAAAAAAAAATTCGCTTATAAATACATTGAAAACAACATACAACAGATTTTTCCTGCAATATATTTGTCAGTTGCAAATTATTTTAGTGTAAGGTTGATGAAGCCATACACCTGGCAGTGAGCATCTGAGAGGACTGCAGCTCTGCAGGTGTGGACGAGCCACCACTGGTCTGTTATATTGAGGGTTTGCAGCTTTCAGTCTCAAGTCATGGCCATTTACATTTAGGTCACTATAGATACACGTGATATTTTCATGCCCCACTCCACCATATTCAATATCTGCAGACGACCAGAGCTGTTTCATGAACAAAGGACATCTAAATTTATCAGTGTAAAAGTGATCTTACTTTACCTGTATAAGATTAAATCTTGATATGTGGGATATTGGTGCATCACAAATCCCATGAGGCTCTGGTGTGACAAGAGCTGGGCAAAGAAAAAATGCAAACACCAAATCTACACAGATGGCACTGACTTCTCTCGTGTCTGCTCGCTTGGCTGTTAGAAGCACATCATAAAGAATTCTGACAAGCCAAGAAAGCTGAGGAGGGAAGCAGTTCATAGCTTCCTTGATACTCTCCATGAACCTGCAAAAATATTTACTGTAATAGTACAATATGATTTAAATTAACTCAGGGTACTGTCATTTCTAAACAATGATGAATGATGAAGATGAATGAAGTAAAGGGTGTGATAAAAGAGAAAAAGGTAGCTTATGAGAGGTTTTTACAAAGCAGAAGTGATATAAGAAGAGCAGAGTATATGGAGAGTAAAAGAAAGGTGAAGAGAGTGGTGAGAGAGTGCAAAAGGAGAGCAAATGATAGAGTGGGAGAGGCATTGTCAAAAAGTTTTGCTGAAAGTAAGAAAATTTTTTGGAGATAAACAAGTTAAGAAAGCCTAGGGAATGCATGGATTTGCCAGTTAATTAAAAACAGAATAGAGGAGTTAGTTGATGGGGAACTGGAGGTATTGGGTAGATGGCGGGAATATTTTGAGAAACTTTTAAATGTCGATGAAGAAAGGGAGGAAGCAATTTCATGCACTGGCCAGGGAGGTATAACATCTTTTAGGAGTGAAGAAGAGCAGGATGTGAGTGTGGGGGAGGTGCACGAGGCATTACGTAGAATGAAAAGGTTACGGTAAAGCAGCTAGATCTGACAGAATCATGACAGAAATGTTAAAAGCAAGGGGGATGTAGTGTTGGAGTGGTTGGTGTTTTTGTTTAATAAATGTATGAAAGAGGGGAAGGTACCTAGGGATTGGCAGAGAGCATGCATAGTTCCTTTATATAAAGGGAAGGGGGGCAAAAGAGATTGTAAAAATTATAGGGAAAAAGTTTACTGAGTTGTAGGTAGTAGGTTGGTAGACAGCAACTGCCCAGGGAGGTACTACTGTCCTGCCAAGTGATTGTAAAATGGAATCCTGTAATTATTTTACATGATGGTAGGATTGCTGGTGTCTTTTTTCTGTCACTTAAACATGCAAGATTTCAGGTACATCTTGCTACTTCTACTTACACTTAGGTCACACTACACATACATGTTTTTTTTTTTTTCAACGTCGGCCGTCTCCCACCGAGGCAGGGTGACCCAAAAAAAAAGAAAATACCCAAAAAGAAAATACTTTCATCATCATTCAACACTTTCACCTCACTCACACATAATCACTGTTTTTGCAGAGGTGATCAGAACACAACAGTATAGAAGCATATACGTATAAAGATATACAACATATCCCTCCAAACTGCTAACATCCCGAATCCCTCCTTTAGAGTGCAGGCATTGTACTTCCCATTTCCAGGATACAAGTCCGGCTATATAAAAATAACCGGTTTCCTTGAATCCCTTCACTAAATATTACCCTGCTCACACTCCAACAGATCGTCAGGTCTCAAATACCATTTGTCTCCATTCACTCCTATCGAACACGCTCATGCACGCCTGTTGGAAGTCCAAGCCCCTCGCCCACAAAACCTCCCTTACCCCTTCCTTCAAACCTTTTCGAGGACGACCCCTACCCCGCCTTCCTTCTCCTACAGATTTAAATGCTCTCCATGTACATGTACAAGCATATATATACACACCCCTCTGGGATTTCTTCTATTTTCTTTCTAGCTCTTGTTCTTGTTTACTTCCTCTTATCTCCATGGGGAAGTGGAACAGAATTCTTCCTCCGTAAGCCATGCGTGTTGTAAGAGGCAACTAAAATGCCGGGAGCAAGGGCCTAGTAACCCCTTCTTCTGTATAAATTACAAAATTTAAAAAGAGAAACCTTCGTTTTTCTTTTTTGGCCACCCTGCCTTGGTGGGATACGGCTGGTTTGCAAAAAAAAAAAAAAAAAAAGTTTACTGAGTATACCAGGTAAAGTGTATGGTAAGGTTATCACTGAAAGAATTAGAGGTAAGACAGTGAGTAGGATTGCAGATGAGCAGGAAAGCTTTAGAGTGGGTAGGGGATGTGTAGATCAAGTGTTTACATCGAAGTATATACAGGTACCATCCGACTTACGACCAAGCTTGGTTCTGGCCAACCGGTCCTAAGTCAAAATGGACGTAAGTCAAACCTTTGAAAATTGCCGACATACTGGGTAGGGCATAATGTCAAACGATTCCTATATAAACTACCTACATAGTATTGTAATGTCATGTACAATCATTATTTCATTTTTTTACCATAATTTACTTTTATTGTTATATTTTAATTATTTATGTACTGTATATAATGTATACATGGTAGTGAACTGTATTGTAAATTGACATCGCATACAGTATCACATGTTACTGTTATCTTTATGTGTTGTCGACACAGTGGAATGGGAGAATACCACTGGTAGTGTCATCCTGCCAGAATATAGTATAGCCTATACCCTAAGTAAAGAGAAACAACTCTGGAACATGTGTAACAGGGGGAATGTCTTTAGAGATGTTTGTGTCTGGTTTTGGCCTGGGGGTTTTCGGGTCACAACTATAAAGGGGAAAAAAGCTTTTTTGGTAAAGGGGAAATATTGGAAATTTAAGGTCCTGTAGAGGGGTTAGATTGCCCCGTAGTAAGTGTGGATTTTATTTGAACAGGGGGGGAAGTTTAAAATTTTATGAAGAGTGGGGGGGGGGTGTTTTGCCAGGGGGGGGAAAATTTGGTTTTATTTTTACTGGGGGCCTTTTTTGTTGGTTTTTATTGGTTTTAGGGCGTTGCTGCAGTTAAACCCCAAGCACGATAGCTAGGTGGGGTTTGGATTTAAGTAAATTTTTTATAGTGTGAGAAGGGCATTTTTTGCACAGTAAGAAATCATTTCTTGGAGGGAAACCCCAAAACCCGTTTTGGATCCCTTTTTTGGTTATGTGGGGATTTTGGGTGCTAAAAGTTCGGCTTTGCCCGGAAAGGGTCTAGGAATTTCCCTCTTATCCCCGGGAAAATTAGAGTGTTTTTTGTTTCTTAATGTTAATTTGCGTTCTTTGCTCTGCTCCCAAAACCAAAAATGTATTTGGGGTTTTGTCATTTTTAAGGGGTTTTAAAGTTTATTGGCTGTCACCCAAAGTCGATTTTTTTGATAGCTCCCCCATTAACAAGGTTTTTGAGGGTGGCAAGATTAGGGGGGAGAGTTTGAATAAGTCTTTGTCGTCGGGCAGGGGAAAATGGGGTTCAGGTGTTGAGATATGTTTGGAAAAACTTGTTGTTATGGGAAAAAGAGCGGGGGGCCCCAAAGGAATTTCCCCTGGGGAAAACCCCAGTATCAAGTGGCTGCGATGTTGGGGTGTGTCTTTAATGGTGACAAAACTGATACCAAATTTATTTAAGGTAAGATTTGAAATATGCAAGCGCATGGCCTCTTTTATCCCTTTAATTGGTAAAGTTTGTGGAGTAAAATGCCGTGGTCTACTTTGTCAAAAGCTTTTCTTAGGTCAAAAAAAAATTTCCTAGTGGATTTCCTTATTTTCCAATGTGTGAAAAGCAGATCTAGATTTTTTCATTAAGTTAGTGCTTTTATTTTTCCTAAACCCAAATTGGCAGGGGTTGAGTATGTTTTGTCCCTTTATAAATAAATTAAAGTCTCCTGTGCACGATTTTCTCAAAGATTTTGGATGCAATGGTAAAATTTGATTTTGGGGCTATGTTGTTTAAATCGTAGGGCCCACCCCCTTTTTGTTTTGGGGTTTTAACCCTTTGGGCCGTCTTGATATTTTCGGGAAAAGGTGAAAAATTTTTTTAAACTTGTTAAAAAGAAAATGAGGAAGCTCCCATGTTAGCCCCCAAATTTTTATGAAAAGCATTGTTTTACAGGGGAAAGGGAATTTCTTTTTTCCATTTCCCCATGGAGATAAGGGGGAAATAAGAAAGGGAACAAAAAACTATTTAAAAAAAAATAGAAAAAAACCCCGAGAGATTTTGGGCTTTAAAAAGGGTTTTCTTTCTTCTTCTTTCAAAAACTAGCCACCCCAAAAGGGGAAAGGGGGCCCTTAAAAAAAAAAACGAAAGTTTCTTTTTTTAAAATTTTAGAAAAAAAATTTACAGGAAAAGGGGGTTACTAGCCCCTTACCCCCAGCATTTCATTTCCCCTCTTTGACCGAATGGTTTTACGGAGGAACAATTTCTTTCCATTTTCCCCAGGGGAATAAGGGTGTTATGCCCTTGGGGAAAGCCCCCCCCCTTGGATGTATTAAGTATGTGTTTCCTTCCCCCTTTTAAAATTTTAAAATATTTTTTCCATCTTCATTAAAAGTAAAATGAAGATACTGTATTTTTAATTTTATCTGGTTTTAAATTTATTTAGCTGGGTGAACGAAAGGATGTTTTTGGTGATCAAAACAAACTGGTAAAAGCTGTTAATTTCCCAACTGGGTTTAGTCAGCCCCCCACTCAACCCGAGGTTTGGACATCTTTGGACATCTGGTAAGTGAATTTTCACCCTCATTTTTGGGATGAGGGAAGCGTCTCATTTTTTGGAGTTACCCTTCTGGCCCCCAACTTGGGGGCCCCTAAGACCCCCCGGGCCCCTTAAAGACGGTATCGAGGGGAAAAAGTTTTTTTTTTTTTTGGGGAGTGTGCTTTTGCGTATTGGGGAACCACTTTGTGTTTTGTCCCCTTGTTTAAAAGGGGAGTCTGTTAAAAGTGGCTTTATTTAAAAAGGATGGGGTTTGGAAATTTCTTGGAGACGGACCCTCCAAAGAACTCCTTTTTTTAGAGCTTTACCAAAATCTACTTAGTGTGTTATGAAAGCTTTTTCCAAATTTGTGGGAGAGAAAATTAAATAATCTATGTCCTGGATTTGCTACGATACAAAGGGGGAATTTTACTGAAGTGTTATTTCTTCTGATCTTTGGGGAAATGAGCCCAAAGCAAAAAAAGTTGTATTTTTAAACTGAATGTCTTGTGAAAATAGGCCATTAGTTTTTTATAATCAAAAAGGGAAATATGGTTTTAAAATTTTTATTAAGTAAACCCGGGGGGTTTAAATTTTCGAATGGGGTACTCTGTTTTTTGGTGCAAGCTTTTAAAAAAAATTTTAAAACCCCTTCTGTGGTTTATGAAGAAACTTAAAAAAAACCCAGGAAAAGCTTCTTTAAAAATGTTTCTTATTAAACCCTTAAAAA